CTGTGCAGCTCTGCAACTGCATCCTGGCCCATCCTCACCCTTCTGCCCCCAACCCTCACCTCCTTGTACCCCCAATATGTTTTTCCCAATAAAAAAAAATTTAAAAAAAAACATATGCATCATACAGTCAACAGTAGAAAAGAAATATGCAAATCAGATAGAGCCTTAATATCACTTTGATGTGATGTCAATTTCTTGTGGTATTTTGTGAATACATAATAATTTCTTATAGCATTTTGGGGGAAGAAGCCAGTATCTGCTCCCAAATGTTAACAAAGGATGAGGAAGAAAAGGTGACAGAAAAATCAGTAAGTTAAACTTACCACATAAAAAAAGCAAGAAAAAAATCTCAATTATTGTATAAACAGCATTTGGTAAAATCCAACACCCATTCCTAATTTTAAAAACAAACAAAACCTCAGGAAAATTTGAAAGGCCGTCCTCAGCATAATTTAGTGTTTAAATGTGCAAATGTAAGAGTTAATGTTATTCTCAATGAAAAAAGAATGACAGCAATCCCCTTGAGAAAAAAATGAAGTTAACAATACCCTTTTGCACCACTCTTATTAATATTGTACTGGAAGTCCTAGCCAGCACAAAGAATGAAAGGGATAAAAAAAAAGACTCTAAATTGGAAAGGGAAAAGTGAAATCGTCCTTATTTGCAGATGACATGATCTTATACAAAAAAATTGCCAGACTCCACAAGAAAGTTACTTGAACTAAAGAAGAAAAAAACAAAAAGATTCCACTGTACCCTTTAAAAAGGGCTCTAAAAGGGAAATCAAGAAGAAAATATTGACTATTCCATGAAAGATAAAATAACCAAAATACTTAATGAGATAATACATAAATGAAAAATATACCATGCTCATGGATTGGAAGACTTAGTGGTATAAAATGCCAATACAACCTAAAGTAATCTATAGCTGTAATGCAAACCCCATCTAAATTTAAGGCCCCCACCCACTCCAAGGCATTCTTTAATGAAATGGTACTGTCGTAGTGTAGTTCATAGGAGCTGCACTGCTAAACTGAAGCTGTCAACTCTCTACCAGTTTGCATCCACCAGTAGTTCCACAGGACAAAGATGGCCACATGATTTACAGCTTCTGAAAACCTGTTGGAGGGTCAACTAAGAGTCTGTTTCAAACTGATGGCAATGAGAACCTACAACTTTGTGTTGTTGTTAAGTGCCGTCGAGTCGCAGGCGACTCATAGCGACCCTATGAAGGAGAGTCCTCGACACTTGGGGGCCTTTTATCCTCTCTCCAGGTTCATAGGGTTTCTGGTAGGGCACGCTATTACGGAAGTGGATGCCACTCCTCCTTCCAATCTTGTTTTAATTGGGGAGCTCCACCCCACTCTCTGTCCACATTCAGTAGTCAACTTTATGTGGAAAGGAAAAGATACAAAATAACTAAAGCAATAAATATTAAAGAATAGCAAAATTGGGCTTCATACGTCTCAATCCCACTAGTATGTTGCTGCTGCTGTTATTAGATGTCATCAAGTGGACTCCAGTGTTTGCAACAATAATATGTACATGCTCTGCACCAACCTCCTAATCTTCTCTGTATCTGAGCCCACCGTCTCAGCCCACTATGTCAATGCATCTTACTAAGGATTCTTCTCTTTGTTGTCGACTCTGCCAAGTGTGAGGACTTTCCCCTATGACATGGATTTGTAGTATATCCAGAGTATATAAGAGGATGCCATTCTCACTTCTCAGAAGCATTCTGACTGCACTTCTTCCAAGACAGATTTGCTTGTTCTTTTTATCTTTGTCTCATTCTCTCATAGCCACTGAATCAGAACAGACTCACCGCTGATCCTGTCTGGGATTCTGAAGCTGTGAATCACCAAGGAAAAGGAAGTCGATCTTTCTTCCACCAATCCATGCTAGTGGACTTGAACCACAAGAGCGGCACAGTCTGACTCAGCAATGCAACTCCCAACAGACTACACCAATGGGCCGGCAGTATTCAGTATTCTTTGGCAACACATTAATGAAGATGAATCAATTTTTTTTTCAGTCTTCATTAGTCCTTGTCTAGCTTCCTTATTCACTGCCCTGCTTGTTACCATTGATGCTTTTAGGTGCAGCCAACTTGGCTCCAAAATTTGCAACTCTATGCAGACAGAATATAACCTTTCCGACCCTGTGCCATCCCCATAATGCTTCCCATGTTGATGTCCACTGTTGCCATCACTGCCAATCCATCTCACTGAGGATCTTCCTCTCTTTCACTGATCTACTACTTTTCTAAGCATAAGGTCCTTCTCCAGGGATTATGCCCTCCTGGTAACATGCCCAAAGTATCTGAGACAAAATCTCACCGTGCATGCTTTCTACAAGTCCTTGGCTACCCTTTCTTTTTTTTGGCTACCCTTTCTCAAGACAGATTTGTTTGGTGGTTTTGGCACTCTGTCTCATATTCAAAATTCTTCCCAGTACTACAATCCAAAGGTATCAGTAATTTTTCTTAGAGTAAGTCTCTTTAACTAATGATGCTCATAAAATAGGAGATCACTTTGTAGAAAAATGATACAAGGATATGCTCTAATAGTGGGGATAAAAACTAACTCAAAGGTCAAAGCTAAAACTATAAAGTTCCTAGAAAAACAGCACAGGAACAAAAGAACTAGGAGTCTTTAATTATCAGCACAAACAGACTTTGAAGAACTAAAGCAACAGAAACCATGTAAGAAATCAGATAATCTCCTATAATCACTTATTCACATCGAAGACTTATGTATGTGAATAAAAAGAGAACCAACCTTGAGACTTCAAAAAATTCTTTGGTAATGACATCCCTAGTAAGGATCTAATCTCTAAAATATAAAGTATAGTCCAATAACAAAAAGACAAAACACTAAAAAACGAACCAAGGATCTGGAAAGTCATTCACAATCATTAATTATTAGAGAGATGTGAAAATCAATACCTCCCACAATAGCAAAAATGGCAGCATTTTTTTTTTAAAAAAAAAAACCCACAAAAAAAATCCCACCACAATAATGAAAAAATTGCCAATGCTGCCAGGTTTCTGGAGGGGTCGGAATTCTTGTCATTAAAATGGTACAAGTTCATGAAAAGATTATGGTACTTCTCAAAAAGCTAGCTAAAAAATATCTTATGGCACAACAATCTAACTGCTAACTAATGACCTAACAGCAGTGACACGAGTACAGATATATACATTATAGGGAGGTTTGGTGGCCTAGTGATAAGAAGCTGTGCTGCAATCCCAAAGGCATACTAGTCACATCAATCAGCTGCTGTGGGGGAGAAGGATGAGCAATTCCTCCCTTGCAATAAAAACTTGCTCTGAAAACTCACTGAACAGTCAGCTATGGGTTGGTTCTGACTGAAGAGCACACAACTAAAACATGTACATTATAGCATTACTTACAACAGCACAAGAAGATGACAATCTCTGTGCCTATAAACGTATACACAGATTTTAAAAACTGATGTAAATGTTGCATGGAATACTACACAATTGTACATAATATTGTGGACTCCAAGAAAAAAATAACATGAAGAAATCTGTAAGATATTATGGTAAGTAGAATGAGACAAAATAAAAGAACAAATATCACATGGTCTTTATTTTTTAAAAATACAGAACGGATGCACACCCAGAAAGCAATATTCTTTAGTGATTACTAGGAATGGGAGGAAGAGGAGAAAAATCACTTCTAAAAAGCAACCCCCCCACCCACTGTCAAATCAAAACCAACACATAGCACCTTTTGCAAAGCTGTAAACTGTACAGGAGATTATGCACTTTTCTTCTGTGGAGCAACCACCATAGAAGAGCCACCTTTTGTTTATCAGTTTGATTCACTGATTCACTGTGGACTAAGTCACCAGAGCTCCTATTACTTCTGGTAATGGAAAACACAATACCAAATATAGGTGATGCTGGTAAAACCTGACCATGTGAACAAAGAAACCAAGAAATACACAAGAGTCAATTTTGGAAAATGCTACAACCTATACAATTTCCCAAAATATATAAACAGATGTATACAGTCACATCAATGTAAATTTGTATCAGCTGTGGTGCTGGAAAAGAGTGCTGAACATCCCATGAACTGCCAAAACAACGAAGAAATGTTTTGGAAATGGTGCACCCAGAGTATTCTTTGAAGGCAAAGATGATGAGGGTTCACCTCAAATACTTAGGGCATGCTGCTAGGAGGAGCTATTCCTTAAAGAGGGGCATGATGCCCAGAAAGGTGGAGGGCTGGCAAAAGAGAGGAAGACCCTCAGCCAGGCAGGCTAACATGGTGACTTCTGCAGTGGGCTCTAGTGTGTCAAGGGGCGTAAGGATGACACAGGATAGGACACGGTTCAGATCTGTTGTTCAAAGAGTAGCTACTGGTCGTACTCCACATGTTGGAACCGAACAACAACATCAGAAGGCATAATTTAATATGTAAAGTTTACATTCTACAGTCTAGGCTGGTAAGTGTTTTCTTAGGTCTTAAAAGCTGGTGTGCAGTCATCTAAGATAGAAGTATGGTCTCTACTCTTAGTCTGCAAAACAAAATAATGGAAACCAAAGGCACAAAGAAGGAACTAATGTGCATGATTACACAAACCAAGACCTTTTGTAACCTAAAACGAAAATACTAGATGGTATCAGCCTACTTGTGGAGTAGTGAATGGGTCAACAGCTCAAAGTAGCTTAACTAGACCACTGCCCCTGACTCTGAAACATGGCTGGACAGGACATATAAAATAGGTTGTTAGTTTACTCAGTAGGGGACTGGCTTGTCTGGCCATTTCACCAGGTCTAAACTGAGCAAGTTGAGTGGCAAAATACTGGAAATCTCAATTATTAGCCTGAAAGGTACACAAAACGCAGTGTGTAGCCTCTGGGGCCAAAGAATGATATGCCAGTCACTCTAAGGCCTACAGGACCATAGTAACAGCCAACAACCAGAACCCTTTTGTGAGAAAAAGCTGACCTGGAATTGCCGCCTCCTGGAGCCAGAGCCAAGGGCCTTTGTCCAAGATTGCTGGAGGATGGGAAAGTCACATGGGATACCTTAGGATCAAGAGAGTTTTGTAACACTGACCTAAAGCTGCAAGGCACACAGTGAAACGATCCTGTTTCAAATCTGAGTTGTCATTTGTTAACTTATCCAGTAAATCCTAATACTGAGTATGGTTCTGTGACATCTGTGTAGTTATTGCAAAGGATTTCGGACCCAGTAGAGCAGTAGAATTGGTGCTGGAATTGGCAGGAGGTGTGGGAACGTGGGGGACATGTCTGACCTCAGACAAAACAGTATGTGCTGTGGATGCTGTTGATGAAGTCAGAATCCCCTCGTGAAGTTAGCAGAGGTCAGGCAAGAGCGTCTTCACTAAATACCTTTGCTCTTTTTATTCTACCACTATCAACGACTAGAGAAACAACAGAAGGTTTTGTATAGAATGAGAGAATAAACATAAAATGAAATGTAAATTCCTAACAAAAGTTAAGACTCCTGGACCAATAGGGACTAAAGGAATGCCTAAAACTATCTCTCCCAAGACACTCTACTTAAATTTGGTACTAAAGTTATTTCTGGAAGTCATCTTAAAGCCAAGTAACAGATCGGCTAATGAAATACACAATAACACCCTTGAGTAACGTGTTCCTTTAAACAACCAACTATACAGGATCAAAAAGTCAACAACAATAACACAAAAGCAAAGATGAGCAAGTAAAGAAAGGAATGGAAGCTGGATCAGTGGAAACAGAAAAAACAGAATGACAATGACAATGTTATATACTATGAAAATTATAACCAAAGTCCAAAAATAATTTGTTTAAGAATTGGTAAATGGGAACCTACTCTGTATGTAAACTTTCAACTAAAAAAATGATAAAGTGTTTAAAAATAAAAGTAAAAATTGGCAGTTTACTAGTAGAGGGCATATTAAAAATTATGTCCTTTACAGATCAAAACGGCAAAAATTCTCACATCTTATAAGTATAATCATTTAAAATGTAAAAATAACTTCTAAGTAAATGAATTTTTAGAGCTCTGTTAGCATAGTGCATTATATGTTATGCTGCTAACCAGAAGGTCAGTGTTTCAAATCCACCATTTGTCTCAGAGTCTCCAACCCTTAAAAATTTACAACCTTCAAAAACCTGGGAAAAGGCCATAATAATTAGAAACTTGTATGGGTTTGGAGTACACTTTATAACAACTAAATATTTTGTCTAAAGTTAATTCCAAATATCTCTTAATCATGTAAATTTAAAGTCACTCTAAAGAAAAAAAAACTACAAACCAAGAAGCAAATGAAAAGATCAATAAAGGGTGCCAAATCTCATTCACAATTATTATAATGCCACTGTGAAAGCTCAAACACTTTTTTCATACCTTGCCTGCTGCAACTTTTGCCAAGAGTGAAGCAAGTGAGTATCCCTTGTTACTTTGATGTTTTAGGGATGGAAGTCTTACTACAGGACGTATACCACCATTACATATCTCATCTGCTCCTCTTTCATTCACGGCCTTGACATGGATTAAAAATGAACGGTATTTTCCTCCTGCCATACCTAGGAGAGTGAGAGGAAAAAATGTGGAGTAAATAATTCAGTCTCCAAAAGAACAAATTGGTATTCATCTTCATAAAACATGTTAAATAATTAACAGAAAGAAACAGGCACTTGTCCAAAATCATCAAAATGTCTTCTCTGAAGATTGGTTAAACATCCTTAACATGTTGGTAGTAAAAAATAAATAAATAGATGAATGAATGAATAAAACAGAGGTTCTATCTAAACAGCCTAGGAAATTTTTTTTTAATTTATCAACATTTTGATATGGGTTTCCCCCTCCAAATCAATGAAGTTAAACATTTTAATCAAGAAGATAATGTATGATTACTCACTGAAGCTCTGTTAAAAGCATTAAGTCACCCTTAACTATTTTATGTCCTCCACCCATCAAAGATCCACAAGACCATCATGCCAGAAAACAAGAGTATACAACCACATAATCTTTTACAGAAGAAAATTACCTCAGTTAATCAAGCATTTCTATTAAAAGTCTCAAAGGAAAAAATTACTTTTTTAAGAGAAAAGATTTTTTTTAAATAATTTTGGTAATGCTTTAGAAAATATATTCCTTTACCTTTAACTAGTTTAGGGCTTGTTAAGGTCAACATCCCCGCATGTCCTGACAGATCAAGACCACTAGCAAGCCAGACTGGCCCACATAGGATATCTTCTTTATGATCTTCTAAGAATGGACATAATCTAAGACCTAAAAAGAAAAACACAAATTTTTTTCTTCTTTTAACTGAGATTGTAACATAAAATGTAATAGCTAATAAACAAATATCCATAGCACTTAAATGTAACATCACCACATAAAACACCATACTTTATGTGCTTAAATACTGTCAGGCTAATGAAAGATAATCAAATATTTGTTATACTATTTTCAGTAATATGTTATTTCCAGTCCCATATTATGTAAAATTCACAATAAAATTTTCATAAAAATTATAAAACCATACTTGATTTACATTGCCAAGGCATTAAATAACAAGAATGCAAAAATTAGTGCAGCTGTTTTCACAAAGATGCGCTGAAAGTTAAAGCATAATTGCCAAAGCAAAATTATAGGTTATTTTTAAATTATGTTCTTAAAACCAAGAAATGCAAGCCGTAAGAAAATCTCTGCCCAATATGATGCATTCAGATCACTACTCCTTTTACTGTCAGGGACAACAGCTCTATAATTTAACTCACACTGTGATTCCTCTACATCCATGTGCTGAATTTCTTCACTCAAATCAACCAGGGACGGTTTGCCATTTTGTTCCACTTCAATGTTAAGAGCTGGAGACAAAGGAAAGGTGATCTGCCTATCTACTGCTGTTTCTAGAGGATAAAAATATTAGTAAACTTAATTTTGCTTAATATCAGTTATTTCTGTGCCTAAAAATCTAAAATATTCTTTAAGTTGGGACCTACTGTGGTTTTTCTCAAGGACGGCAGATAATCAGATTTATTTAATTGTTTCGTATATTCTATCTTAATAGAAATAATTACTAGAAAAACTATCCACTTAGGAAATTTGCTGGAAACCACATTGTAGTTTTTGCCATAAACTACGCAATAGAAGTACTTTCATCGTTTTTAAAATACCAATGCTTATATCCTAGATCCAGATCAGAATCTGTCATAATTTACAGGTACACATACAAAATATATACATTTATAATTTCTGACCAAGGAAATCCTTCAGACTTCATCTCTTACAACTCTAGAGTTCAAACTTAAGATGATCTTTTACTCTGAAATTATTCCCAGTTCTTTCAATTCACCTATTAAAGATAAAACAGTGAGACTATCTACTTGCTAATATAATAAATGTGTGCAAATTGTTTTATTAACTTAGAACTGTCACATTCTAAATTTTTAAAGAAGATATTTACTGGCTTTACATGGAAGGGTGGATTTCTTGAAAAACGTTAAAAGAATGACTCATGTGTCTGAAAAATTAACATGTTCTTTATGCTGGGAACTTATGTGATTTTCCTCTCAAGGGAGGCAGAAAACTAGTTTCAAATTCCCTAAGATTTTTTTCCCCTAATGAAGTTTCCTCTTAGGAAGAAAAATGTTTAAGATTAACAATGCTGAAAGCAAAACGAATTCACAAAAGAACTAATCTCATTTCAAAGGAGCATGATTAAATTATATAAACTTAAGCAATTCTAAAAATTTCTGAGTTACCCAAGAGGGTTTTTTTTAAATGAATTTTTCTAAATAAAATCATCAAATAAGTAAAGCATTAGAATGTGGGGAGGAAAGTCAAACTTTAACAGTCAAGTTGAAAATGTTTCAAAGAAAAGAAACCAACTACAAGATAAAATGTAAGTTTTGATTCATTCTTACCATTGACTTTCCCTAAGCCTGGAGCTTTATTTTTCAGAAGTGTCACTTGAATCTGTGGAATATTGGTGATGTTTGAGTTCAAAACAAATTTGAAGTCTACATGTCCAACCATACAAGCTTTTGGCAGAACTAATTCAAATACATGCTCATCCCAGCTGTTGCTGTAAATAAAGGAGGGAATACTAATTAAAGCAAAAATCTTCAACCACAGTTATTAATTAATATCAGCTGTCATACTATTTTATTTGCTATTGATGACAAAATGTAATGTATCTCAATGGGATGGAGTAAGCAGTACTTTTTACTGACTCCTTTTATTGTGTTTTGTAAAAATTACTGCATACGCACAAGCACACTCTTAAAACTACTGTTATTAGACTTTTTTGTTTTTAACATACTTCATAGCAATTATGACCGAATGACAGATTACATATTTTATATATTCTATACCTTTTTCTTTCTCTCATTGCCATCAAATCAGAACCAATTCAAAGGTGACTGTCCTGCGTATTTTCAGAGGCTATAATCCACATAGGAGGAAAGTGCCTATTTTTCTCCTGCAGAACAACTGGTGGACTCAAATCATCTGTCCTTGGGATAACTGTGCAACCTCCTTACCCATGAGATTATCAAAATATATTAAATACTATAAATGGCATCTAAAAAAGCAAATACAAACTCAAACTCCACAGCACAGGAGCTGACTTGTACGTGACCCTTCAGCAAGTTTTTAGAGGCTATAAATCGCCTGGAAGGAGTCCGTCTTTCTCCCATGGTGGTAAATTAAAAATAGCTGTCTTTACGTTAGCAGGACCACTCCCCACAGATTATATGGTCTATCTATCTTCACCAGAATACAAATCTCATGAGTCATTCTGTTACCTAAAAGAGGGCACAAGCAAGCATTTTTGTATGCTATAAAAATAAATACAAGTATTTCTTAATGTTTGTATTTCATTATGCTATTATCCCCCTAAAAATAAAAAGAATATTTCTTATTTCTAAAATCAATGTGACAAAAGCAATAAGTCATTATCATGCATAAGTTAAAGAGTTTCCTCAACAAATGTTTAAATTTATAATCAAATATATTAGAAGAACATTTTACCTGTCAGTCTGTAGTTTCCAAGTTCTTGTGTGCTGTGCAGCATCTCCATGGTGTTGCTGATGTAAATGCTGTGGATGCCTCCTTTGTTGCTGTTCTTGTTGAACTTCTACCCAGCACGGAGGAACAGTAGCTGAAAATCGTGGAGTCAACGTCTCAAAGCGTGTTAGCTCCACTAAAGACGTCAAGATTTCAAGGGTGAATGGCTGGTCCACCAACAGGTCAACTCCTTAATATAATTCAAGACAGTATTTGAAAAGGAGGGTTAGAGAAAGAAGAAAGATAGTTTTAATTTGTGTTTTTTGCCTTTTCTATTATAACACACCAAAATCAAGAAAAATAATAAAGTTGGCTCAGATATAAAGTAATTATAACTTTAGAGTAGTACAGAAGAAAAAGTCCACTGGAATATTTTAAATGT